AATTTTCAATGTAGGTCTATCAAATATGATGGAGATTTAGACATGCCATATGTAGTGTTGTGTACTACTAGTGCTTGCCCAAGTGGCCTATGTTTGCAGGGAACAACTCAGAGTGTCCTACGTTTTGCCGGAGTGTTGATTCATTTCCATTCCGGCAAATTTCAGGCGCTCGATATGTCCTATTTTAGCAAAGGTCATGCCGGATTTTTCCGTGAATTTTAGCATGACTTGTGCTATAATATGTAGGAAATATCGAGTGCCCCAAATTTGCTAGAAAGAGAATTAAACGACATTTCAAGTTGACTTTAAGTCTTTCGGGGCTCCATACATGACAGTCAAAAAATCAGTGAGGAGAGTCTCCACCATATTGAGTAATAGTGATCTGTGTGTTGAGTTTCCTGGTATAGCCTTCGATCGATTTTAAATGTTTCAACTACAAACATAGGAAATGTCTGACAACAAAAGGGAATTCGTTATGCGCAAATACTGCGAAGATGAGCGCGGTCTGTGCGACAGGCCTCACCTAGAAGATGATAGGCGCTTCAGCATCATGCCGGATGAGAACTTCGAAGTGGATACATTAAGTCACAATGACAAGTCTTTTTTCGTAATTAAGCATGACTTCTGCTTCTTTTGCTTCAACTTATAATTTTAATTTTTTACAATTCTACTAGTGTATCCCCTACCATGCAAGAAGGTATGTCTTGGATAAGAATGGTTTCAGTACTATGGAAAGTATGGAGGTAAAGAGAGTTAACTTGAGGACCAAGCATGGTTATACTTTTGCCGTAAAATTATACAATGCGGACACCTACACATATTTTGAATGCAAAAATTGGAGAGCACTATGCAAGGCTTATGCATTTGAGCCTGGTATGCTTATCACCTTTGATATTTGTCCCGAAGATGAAATTGAAGGTAATATCGACATCTGCGTCGATGTGCAGACGCCTCCAGTTCTACCATTATGTGAGTTTCTCAACCATATTTATTAAGTAATTTATATTGTTTATTTAAAAATAGTTGACAACTAATTTCTATTGATAGCTTATTTTCATTCAAGCAAACATGTCCGGTGCTTGGTAGACAGCACCTACTATTGTCCCGGGTCTGAACTAAACTGCGAGAAGATAGGTCATTATGTTTCATGGCTTGAGAATCTTGATACTGTCAAGACGGGTTATTTTCCTGGACTTCGAGATATTAGTACTCAAAACGTGCAACCACTAGTGTTCGTATTGAACTACAGTCGCATCTATTTAGGAAAGGTGGTAAAATATTTACTATTTGTCCTCATCAGTGCATATTTTGCATATATTATTTTTTTACACTAAACTTCATTGCTAAGTATGTTACTACGATGTTCTTCAATAGGGAGTCCCGATGAGTGTTGTGCCTCGTTGGATCGAGCATAAAGGTCGCATGACAATGGTTAGCTTACGACCAAGACATCCTACATTGCACATGAGTGCATTCATGATTTCTCGAAGCGAGCAAGTCTTAATAGTCAAAGACTGGAGCAAAATTGTGAAGGATCGCAGCAGAGAAGTACTAGGGGCAGCAATCAGAAGCGCATCCCACAATTATGAGACATGTTCATCGGCATTCTCCAATATGATGATGAAGGAGTGTTACACATGTTCTATGCTATCTTGCCTGAGAGAGAGCAGCAGGAGTGATTAGCTAGCTAGAATGAGTTTGAAGATGATGATGTGCTACACTATGACTATGATAATTAAATAGCTAGTGTTGGTGGTAATGACTATGATGATTATTATTAGCTAGTGTTGCTGGTGATTAGATAGCTACACTATGAATATGATGATTAAATAGTGTTGGTGGTAATGACTATGATGATTATTAGCTAGTGTTGTTGGTGATGATATGATGCAAGAGTTTTTATATTAATATGATGATGATGTTGATCATGATTATCATGATTAGTTATTATATCATTGGTGAAACGAACGCGGATTAGATTCATGTGGATGGATCAAAAGTGACCAAAAGTTGAATTAGTAGGATCGTCATCCTAATTCAACTTTTGATTCATCCAAATGAATCTAATCCATGTTTCTTTCTCGCAATGATATATTAATTCATCATGGACATAATGATATAACAACCTCTTAATTGGTACTGTATCAAAATTTGTATAACAGCGTATAAATACACTAAAAAATTGAATAGTAGTAGCGCTGGGCAGGAAAAACGCTACACCTAGTTAGATTAGCAGTAGCGCTTGTATGGAAAGCGCTATTGCTAAGTAGCTATAACAGCAGCGTGGGAAGGAATTAGCTACTGCTAAGGCCTCTTTTGGTTCATAGGATATGATTATCATAGGAATAGGAATCTTGTAGGAAATGAGATGACATGTATCTCAAATCCTATGAGTAGGAATAGGAAACAAGATGTCATTTGGTTGACACCAAAGGAATTTTTCCATTGAGTCTAGGCTTTTTTTTATTTTCCTATGAAATATGGAGGATAGGAACCAATCCTATGCAGGAATAGGAATCCATTCCTATGAACCAAAGGGCTCTAAAGGAAAAAATCCTATAAGAATCCTATCCTCTAGAATTCCTATAAAATTCCTCTAAACCAAAGGAGGCCTAAGTGTTAGTTGTAGCGCCGTAGCAGTAGCGCGGTACCCCATGCTACTCATAGGCTAAAAACCCGCGCTACTAGTAGGCTTTTTCCCAGTAGTGCCTAGATGACATCCCAGACAACTCATGACCTAGTTCTCTACTGAAACATCCAAATTCTTTCAATAAGATATTCCACGGGTTTGACCTAGTTGCATCAAGCCATTAACCATCTCAATTGCATCTTCAATCATTGAAGGGATGTAACATGATCTCATTTTTCTTCCATCTTTCTCTCTGATGCCACCCCATGCCCTACTCAATCATAAGCCAAACTGCTTCTATAGTCGCTAGCCAAAACAGGACATGACCCAGTATTAACGTAATTGGTTTGATATACAACACAAAAAAAGTTCGATCTGAAAGAACTTTCTGCTTACTTCGGATTAGGTAGTCTTGCAACTAGATACAACTAAAAAAATAAGTGGTACAACTAGATACTACAATATAATTTATGTTTCAACATTTGAATCAAATTTGTATTTTTTTGTTCTAGACATACACATATTACATGTCATATGTATCCACATTTCAAATATTACAATGTGTAGTATTCATCCAGTTAGTAACATACTAATCAATGTAATTATTTTGTTTTCAATTTCTTCTAGATTGATGCAATAAGGAAAGAAATACTCCATAGTATTTAAGAGAATACTCCACACTATGAACACAAAATTGGAATACATAATAAATTAAATACCATTGTCATGTTTTTTCTTAATTCTAATTGCTTTTTAAATCATTTTATTTATTTTTATTTTTCACTTTGTGCAGTGTCTTTATTAACCAAGGGGTTTTACTTTTTTTGAATTGTTTGGATTGCTTACCACACGTGTCATGTGGTAACCAAGGGGGTTTACTAATAGACTATTACTCTTACCTTCCAAGAGATAATAGTAACATCATTTGTTGGACCTAAGAGCATCTACAACAAGTCCTCTTAAAAACTTTCTCTAAAAGTAGTTTTCGCGGTGGACAGCGGGCACGATGGGTATGGCAGCAACGTGCCGACGTGGCACTGTTAGGGCACTACTATGGGTCTGGTTATTTATACGGGTCCCTCCAAAAATTGGACCCTAATATTCTGGGAATGTAGTGAACGTCCTCCAGGCCTACATGACAAATCCTACAAGTCGCCATGATAACTTTAGTTGATACGATAACGGCAAGTTTGGGCTTACGCTGGGAAGACGCTCCGAGTGAACGTTCGCTGTATGATGTTTTTCAAATAATTCACATCTACGTGGCCCAACTCCCTATAAATCAGATAGAAATCAGTACCCACGAGCTCTAACCGCTTCGCTCCCTCTCGTCCAGGAAAAGGCAACCAGGGAGGCGACAAAGTCCTCCCGCGCTCTGCCGGCGAGGCCGTGGATTCTCTTGCCCTCTAGTCGCCGTTCCGGCGACGGATGAGTGAGGGAACCCCAGCTCTCTGCTCGGCTGTAGTTAGGGTTAGGTTTAGTATATTCTACGGTGGCATTTGGATGGCGGTGACGCCGGCGTTCGGAATAAAAATTCCCCCATCTTAGCCCCATCTCGATGACATCCTTAGTGGTGAAGTCGAGGGATCTATGGGAACCTTATTCCATCATCTCCTTGATGCGATGGATCTGGTGGTGTTTGTTGTTTCTATGGCGGATCTCATCTCGTGTGGTGCCGTCTTTGTTTGGGAGCAGATGAAGGTCCAAGAACAAGGTTGGAGGCTTGTGGGTGGCAGTTCTGGTGTTTTGCCTCGATGACATGGACGACATGTAGCGGATCTGGGTTTCGAGGAGCACAGGGATGATCCCCGGTCGACGCACCACAGCGACAATGGCCTTGCCGGCGGCAGGCCTTTTCTTATGGGCGATGGTGTTTATTCGTCTCCGAAGATGGCAAGTGGCAACGATGGTTGCTGTAGAAATCTACTTCAATGGAGTTTTCTTGCAATTGTTTCTGGACATGTGTCCTCTCTCTTTTTCTACCGTGGTTTTTGTGATTTTGTGTTGTAATATGACATCTGTTTAATGGTATATGAAATTTCTCAAAAAAAAAAACTCCCTATAAATCAGCTTTTATATTGGGAAAGAGAATTAACTGCTCATGTTGCTTTGGACTGTCTTAAAATTTCTTTCTGTTTATTAGGAGAGATTGTTCATGATGCCGCTATAATCAAGATTTTGTATTGCTCTGTGGATCGATGGATCAGTGGAACACATATATACTTGCTGTATAAACCTTTTGATCAGTTCATCCACAAAAAAATATGTAAATTAACAAGAATAAATTAGAAGAAATGGAACTGCTCTATGCTAGTGCGTATCAGCAACCAATGCGCTGCGCGTGGGCTGCAAGCTCGATCGGAGGAAGCATCTACTCTCTGAGCATGGCCATGGCCTTGATGAGCACGGGCTCGAACCGCTGGAGGTCGAGCTTCACGTCCTGCTTGCCGAGGTAGTACTCCGCCACCTTGCTCCACCCGCTGCGGTGGATCGACTCCGGGTCCTTGACGGCCGGGTGGTCACGCCCCAGCGTGTCCACCAGCGTGCTCTCCTCCATGCCGCACGAGTAGGCCATGTACTTGAGCCCCATGTCCACCGCCGGCGTCCCGAAGTCCACCTCCCCGATGTGCTCCATCTTGCCGAAGGGGTTCACCTGGATGAACACGGCCCCAGTCGGCAGGAAGAGCGAGTTGGTGAGGCCGGCGCCGTGCACCCCCATGAGCACGTCGGCGGCGTTCACCTCGCGCGCGAAGTCGCCCACGTCCACGTTGAACGGCGGGTCCCCAATCACCACCTCGAACCCGATCCGCTTGGCGAGCGCCACCACCTCCGCGATGTTCACCAGCTTCCTCGGGTGGCGCCGCGAGATGATCATCATCCTCGGCTTCTTGTCGCTTATAAGTCCGGCGGTGACCCGCATGGGCGCGGCGCGCGGGAGCGCGAAGACGTTGCGGAGGAACTTGGTGAACTCCGGCATGGAGTGGCCCGTGGGATCCTTTTCCGGGTCGATGCTGAACTCCTTGTGCATGCGGATGCCGACGACGGCGGACGGGAAGCAGCGCACCTGGTCGTCCTTGTCCATGTCCACCACGTCGTACCTCGACAGGCGCGCGATGATGTGGCGGTACTTGCCGGCGTACCAGGGCTGGATGTTGGTGACCACGAGCTGTACCTCGCCGTCGAAGCGGGAGGCCTGGAGGTAGAGCGGGATCATGACGTCGCTGAAGTCGTGCCAGTAGTTGCCCGTGAGGCCGCCCATGGCGAAGACGAGCGCGGGGACCTGCGAGGTGACGGCGCAGCGGGGCGCGTCGGCCGCCGTGGGCAGCTCGCGCACGGTGATCTCCTTGATGCCGGACATGTGCTTGCGGGAGTAGGGCAGCACGCGCCACTCCTGCGGGTTGGGGTTGCTGCCGCCGGACTCGATGGTGGGCGGGACGAGCACCGTGTGGGTGGAGCCGTGGATGCGCACGCCACCGCTGCCGCCGGCGAGGTCGCAGACGTCGGACGCCCAGGGGCCCTGGATGTCGCACGCCGGTTTCTTCGCCGGCGCGCTCTCCTCCGCCGTCGTCACGATCTTGGTAGCGTCATCTGCATGGATAGGCATCAAACTTGAGCATTTTTTTTCTTTCAGTTCAGGTTTAGTGGAATTCTGACGGAGCAAAGTTCTTTCTTTGGTCCCCGAAAAAGAAAAGTTCTTTCTTTGGATTGATTGGCCGGAGATCCAATCGAAACTTGTCGACTTTTCTCTTGACATGGATGTATTTGGAAGAGGTTAGCAACGACGTACCGGTGGGCTTGGGGTCCTCCTCTGTTTCTGAGTTGGGCTCCTCTGTTTCCCTGTGGGGCTCCTCGTCGACAGGCGGTGGCTTCTCTTGTACTTGTTCATGCTCTGGCAGAGGTGCTTCCTCCTCTGTTCCATGCAACACAACACATCGCATACATGGTCAGAACTCAGAACAAGAATTTCCGATTGAATTTTGATGGTCAGGAGAACGGGGAGCTGGTTTACTTACTTTTGACGGGAAGCTGCTGCTGCTGCACCGTCTTCTCTGCCACGGCCGGGGCGGTCGGCGTCGGGTGTGCCGCCGAGGTCCTCCGGATAGCTGCAATTTGTAGCCAAATTCTCATCAGTTTCAGTTTTAGGTTGGTGACTATGTCCTTAAATTGAGATAACCAAGAACATGGAAGAACATGTCCATGCTTTGACCAAGTCTTGCGTTCATAAACATTCAAAAGTTGTTCAAATAAAGGACTACAATACTAACACAGCAATTCTTTGGGCCGAAAGAAATCGCAGCTTTTGAGGCGAATCACATATGCTTGCTTGCCCCGATAAAGCATGCAACAAGGAGAACAAAAATAAATGTCCTCAACAAAAAAAAAAGTGAACCCATGGAAAAGCAAGTGAGAGTTCAGGCGGACGAGACGCACCGTTGGGCGCGGCGATGGCGAACTGCTCGGAGAGGGTGAAGTAGGTGAGGAGGACGAGGAAGAAGCCGAGGAAGAACCCCACGCCGACGTATTTCTGCGCCGCGCCCCGCAGGCTCTTCACCAGCTTGGCGCCATGGTCGTCCCCCATCGATCGATCTCTCTCACCCTATCTCTTCCTCCTCCTCCTCCTCCTCTTCCCGCGAGTGAATCCTTTCTCTTTCTCTTTCTCGTGTATGTATGCGCGTGGGCGGTTGTCCTAGCTTAGCTAGCTAGCTAAAGAAGGTAAGGGCGATGGCGCCAACTACTCCCTGACGCGGGAGAACCTTCCAAGAACACCTCCGCACGGACCAGTTCGCTCTCTATCTCTCTCTCTGTGAGGAATATAATGGACTTTATGGCCGCCCACGTCAGGGGAAGGGAAGAAGACCTCGCCAAATTGCCCAAGCAACTCTCCCTTCTCCTCCTCCTCCTCCTCCTGATTGCTACGTCTGCAAATTGATTCATTAATTATGCAGTTTGCAGTACATATATTAGCTGTGCTTTCATTCGAGTATATATGCTCTGAGTTGTATAACTGCAACCAATGTTTGAATACGGTAAGAAGTAATAACAAGTGTTACGGTTAAATAATCAGAAGTAGGCAGAAAGTTCTTCCAGATCAAACTGTTTTGGCTAGGCATTATGGGAGCGGTTTGGCTCATGATTGAGTGGGGCATGGGGGTGGCATAGGAGAGGGGGTGGAAGAAAAACGAGGTCATGTTCCAACCATCCCTAAGGAACTGATTGATTGGTTGGTTGAATATGATTATGTGAACGTGAGGTGGTTGATCCAACCAGGTCAAACCCCTGGAATATCTGATTGGAAGAATTTGGATGTTTCAGTCATGAGTTGTCAGGGTATGTCATCCAGGGCCCACCCCCTGCCTAATTCATAACTTGCAAAGCATTACAATATGCGTTTCTTGCGGCCACATACTTCCTTTTCTTTCTGCCTCCATTTCCTTGTTCTGCCCATTCTTTTTGCACCATCTGTAGGTGCATTTATCTATATTTTGATATATTGTGCCCCGTAAAAAAACAATCAGGGTAATTTATGTCATCGGCGGCCTCGGATATCAAAATCTTGTTTTGAGCCTAGCTTGATTTCACACCTTCTAATTTGACAAAATTTGGCTCAAAAAATCGAGATTTGTTTCTTTTCATGTAGTACATAACACTGAGAAATTTGGCCATCTTTTTTTTCTCAAATAATACCAGGCTGGTCGATAGCACACCGACAGATTGGTCGGCGCATTTTCCAGAAAAATATCATTATCACTCATGAAAAAGACGGTTCTAGACTTGGCTTTCCAAGCAAGACTCTGAGGTCATGCCATTTATTTCCCTTTGCCCATGAGAAGTGACCTCCTGCTGCAAAAGTGCCTGTCCCCATGCATATTAGTTATGGCCTAGTAGCATTTTCAGTCCAGTAGATTAATTTTATTTTGATCATATTTTGCATGAATTTTGCAGGTGCTCGTGTTTGAAAATGGTCACCTCCGTGAACATTTTGAGAATTTCTGAAAACGCACAAGTACCTAATCCCTAAACTCAAGTACCCGCCGTTGATGTCCACTTGTTTTTAGATATTTACATACTGCAGTGTTACGCGCATTTTTAAAATTACATGTTGAAAAGGTATACATATTTGATTAATTTTACTCACGTAGAAAAACTTGGCACACATGTAGTTTTATAAACATTTATCTCTTGCCTGTTTTTGGTGGTTTACTGGAGCAGACATACATATCTTTTAGTATTATTTTCTTCAAAACAGATTGTTTTTCATAAGTTGTATTTCTATGACAGGAAAACACCATCATTCAGTACATGAGAGAAACGTTTTCAAGTAAGATGGACGCCCGATGCAACGTCGCCGATTTCCCATTGATCATGGACAGTGAGCCATGAGCACCTATTGCAAAGAATTGCCCTGCACACCAGTTCTTGGACATATTGATGCAAATTTTCGGTCTATGTAGTCTCAGTCGCGCATGTTTACTGATACTCCCCTCCGTATGTATGCACATATTTGTGGCCAATGAAGAGGTTTGGATGGGGAATCCAAACTTTCTCTCCTACCTTACCTTACCTTACCTCACATGCTAGCTCTCGTTTTGCACATGCACTCAGCTAATCAGATTCTAATTTCTGGAATCTGCATGAATTCATGAATCTTTTAGCACATACTAGTTCACATCTACACGTATACTGAAAAAGAAGAAGTTTTCTAAGATTTTCAAATGCTGCTTTTGACTTTCTTTACAATGATCGATGTTGACCGAGTTGTATTATGCACTGTCGGTTGTGAGTTGTGATCCATCGATGAGCGAAAATTTAATTAATATAATCGGACACGTAGCGTTCTGCTTGGTTTGCTGAAAGCAGCATGGCATGTGACAAGCCTGTGGTCACATCCATCACAGGCCAAGCCAAGCCACCGGGCGGTTTTGGATGGAACCCTGCCGTGCATGAATGGCTGCTAGCTAGTTAGGCAGGCCGGACCGCCGGAGACGTAAACGAGATAGCGATGGCGTACTCACATGATCTTCCACTTGGGACTTTTCCAACGAGAAGTACGGGTACTAGTTGCAATCATCTTCGACCTACCTAGGGCGTAGAATAAATCACATCTAGGCGTAATTAAACTAATCTCAACGTATAATAAGCCTAGCAACGTTTATACTCAACGCGTAGAACGTATACTATGTTGTACTCCAGTAGGTAGGTAGGTTGGTAGAACATGCATGCATGTAGAGTAGGAGTATATGTGCATGTGCAAAGGAGCGCCCACGTGGGGCGCATATGTACGTGTTGAACGGTCAGCGCCAACAGCCAGCGGAAACGTAACGTGGGCTGCTAATCCGTTGCTTGGTTACAGTTATCAGTCGAGATCTGTTGATTACCAACTTAGTATATCTAGGTTGCTAGTTTTTTGAAGGGAGATTATACAAGAAATCTAGTTACCGTTAGTCCCACACGAATTAAATATTAATCACTCTGTATAGGTTCTATACCTGAAGGCTTTTTTTCTCCTATCTTCCTTCTGTATTAATTGAATGCAACTCTTATGTCAAAAAAGAAATTTGAATGCAGCTCACATGCATGGTTTGAAGAAAACCACTTTGTTCAATGATATTATAAAGGAAAAATATCAATATTTCCTATGATCAAGCTAGGGAAAAGTATAACTGTCTCCAATAAACGATCACAACCATATATTCATCACGAAATGTATTTTTATATTTATTCATGATTTGTTATCATAAATCCTGCTGTTTTCCCCTATAAATTTGATCAAATATAGATAGGGTTGATTACAGAAAAAAAACATACCTTGTATTTTACGACGTAGGTAGTACTTATATACCGTAAGGACAAAAGTTGTTTTTTTCAATGACGTAAGAACAGTAGTTGACTGCAATGGTATGTATTATTTTTGTTTCAGAATATAAATTGTGCACGCATGTGTTGGGTCCTAAAATGGGCAGATCCACGCCTTAGTTATTAGATTGACGGGGCATAGTTGCACCAGCTAGGTTCCTTCGTGCGCATGTTGCATGGATTATTCTGGGAGTAAGTACTCCCTCCATTTCATAATGTAGTGCTTTTTCTATCCCCGTGTTTCAACTTTAACCATAAATTTAACTACCGAGACCGATTGCGGCGGGAGCAAAAGTTATATTAGTGAATTCGTATTCGAAAGAATTTTTTAATTATGTAACTTTTTCTCCCGTCGCAGTCGGTCTCGTTCGTTAAATTTATGGTCAAAGTTCGACCTTAGAAAACGCGGACGCACTATATTTTGAAATGGAGGGAGTAGTACTCCTCCTGGAGTACTTTACTATAGCTAAATAAAAATCAACCGTTCAATCATTATCAGCTTTTCAAAGGTGTGTGGGTTGGCAAGCGGTTGTAGTAGTTGATCCATGTGAGCGACCCAACCTGCTAAACATCATGCAACGTCCACGTCTGTGCAGGTAGCTTAAGTGGACGCATATAAGATGCATACCACACCTCCATGCTGGGGTGCGGACCGACACCAAATGAATTAATATTTGAATTACTATACATGTATTATGTATGTAAAATTTGAGCTGCTATAGCTACTTAAGTTCCAAACGAAAGACAAATCAAAAGGAAACTGCTTTACTAATATTTATAGCTACGTAAGTCCACCGGCAAACGTTCGCTGGGGGATAGTATTTGCAAACCATATTCATCGTAATTTTAGTTATAGGGATGGCAATTTCTTTGGACTAGCATGGCAATTCCTTCATAGAGAAAGCATTTTTTTTTCAAAAATAAAGGCCATCGTTTGATCTCGATCCAACGGCTGCGAGGGCGTTCGCTGGGAGCTTCTTCCCAATAAACATTCACCAGTGAGCATTACTATATTTCTATCGATTAGTTCATTATGTCGGATTAAAAATGGGATTTAGTATCACATAGAGATATATATGGCTGTCTTAAAAAGGAAAAAGAGGTATGTTAGCTATATATATTTGTTTGCTAGGAGGCACACACATATAAACCATGCACATGCTAAAGCTAAGTACTCGTGTAATACGTTAGCTAGCGACCACATAACACAAACTATATAATACTCCCTCCGTTCCTAAACATTTGTCTTTCTAGACATTTCAAATGACTACTACATACGAATGTATGTAGACATTTTTAGAGTGTAGATTCACTCATTTTGCTTCGTACGTAGTCACTTGTTGAAATGCCTATAAAAACAAGTATTTAGGACGGAAGGAGTACATTCTACAAGTATACTATTAGCACTATGAAGGCCTTAATAGTTATGGAACTTGTTGGTAACATGCGTCAGAGAGTGAATGAATGAAGAATGAATGGATCATTTTGTAATTGGCTTGCGAGCTTGTTTCTTTTTGCGGGGACTTGCGAACTTGTTGGCCGGCCGTTTTTAGGTGTCATGCATCATTTGTCCTGCTTGTTAGCGTAACTAAAACTGCATGCATTAAATTGGACACACTAAAAGTGAGCGGACAGGTACAGCCGATAGGGGCGGTCATTCAACCCGGTGCACCAAATATTCGTCCATATTTCTTTCCTATGTCTGGAGCATGCAAAATAATTAAA